ACACCGCAAACCGCAAACCCTAAACCCTCGTTTCGCTGTCCGCATCCCCTGAGGGTTTAGGGTTTAGGGTTTAGGGTTTAGGGTTTAGGGTTTGCGTTGCTGCGGCTGCTTGCCCATGCGCTGCTCCCTCGAGCCTGCGCCCAGCGGGCGCGCGCTGCCGGGCCCCTACGGCCGACGGCCTAGGGTTTAGGGTTTAGGGTTTAGGGTTTAGGGTTTAGGGTTTAGGGTTTGGCTGGCCTTGAAGTCTTCTTGTTTGACTTTTTTCAAAACTTCTAAATAAAGTGGAAAACAAGGCTGCATGCATTTCAAAAAAGGAAAAACCCTTTTTTCGCAAAACCCTAACCACGAGGGTTTGGGGGGCCCCCGGGGTTGGCAGCAGCGGGCAATGGCCCCCGCCCACCGCTGCGCAGCCTCCATAGGGTTTAGGGTTTAGGGTTTAGGGTTTAGGGTTTAGGGTTTGGCCGCCGCGGGCGCTCCGAAGCGAGGCCCTGGGGCCCCCACTGATGGAATTCGCCAAAACGAGTAAGTGCTGTATGAGAGGCTCGCGGGAAAGGGCTTCTGCTGCTGCTTTGCTGCTGCTGCTGCTGCTGCTGCTGCTGCTGCTGCTGTGCTGCTGCTGCTGCTGCTGCTGCTGTGCTGCTGCTGCTGCTGCTGCTGCTTGGAGAGAAGACCGCGGACTGGGGGCTGCAAGCCACGGAAAGGAAGGCTGGGACCAGCTGCAGCTGCATGCAGCAGGCCTCTGGGGAGTACAAAGCCGAGTTAAAAAGCAAATAATAAAATAAAAAGCAAATAATAAAATAAAAGCAAATAATAAAATAAAATAAAACAAATAAAAAAGATTAAGAAGCAATTCGAAGAGTTCAAGTTGCTGCAGCCGAGAACGCGCAGCAGCAGAACTGCTCTCGCTGCCGACTCGATGGGGCCCCCATGCGAATCGGGGCCCCCCAGGCCGCAGGAGTTGCGGAGTTTGCATTAAAACGAAAGCAGATTTGCATTTTGCAATTAATTAATTATAAATAATGAATGATCGGAGCGGATCCGGAGTTGCGTGTTGCTGCGGCTGGGGTGTACGTACAGCTCGGAGAGCTGCTGCTGCGCGCGGCGAATTCAACTTCGGCCGGCGGCGGCTTCGAAGGAGTTTGGAAGCGTCAGTTAATATTTTTTTTAGTTTTTTGCAACTTAGAAGAATGAAAACGCAGATAAGTTTCTTTTTTTTGTTTTGTTTGGCGGTTTCGGCTTCGGGGGAGGGCGAGGAGCGGCCGTTTCGCTTCGAGCCGCGGCCGCCGCAGACCGGCGCGCTGAAGACTTTCCACCCGCTTGGCGGCGGAAAAGAGTGCGAAAGCGGCGTTTAAAGTGGAAAGTTGAATTGAATTTGCATTTCGAAAATTGTTTTCGGAAAAAGTTGAATTTTTGAATTCGAAAAAGCCGCATTTGAGTCCGCTTTCCGCGTTTCAGGGAGGCGGAGTTGTACAGCGCGGCCACTTTCCCGAACCCGTTTGTGGAGCCGGAGCGCTGCGCGTTCGCCGCTCGGTGGGCTTTAAAGGGCGTTTTTGAAACAAAAAGAAGTTCAAAATGAATTTATTTCTTTTTATTTCTTTTTATTTCTTTTTTTTTCTTTTTTCTCCGCCTTTTTCCAGCAAAAACCACTCCTGGCTCTGCGACCCCCAGCGCCTGCTGCCCCCCCAAGAAGAAGCCGAACTCGAACTGGCGCTGCTGCGGCTGCGAGACCTCCGCGCCCACGAGTGCGCAGACGGAAAGCTGCATCACTTCCAAGTAAGAACTAATTAATTAATTAATTAATTAATTAATTAATTAATTAATTAATTAATTAAATTAAATTAATTAAATTAAATTAATTAAATTAAATTAAATTAATTAATTCAATTCAAATTCTCAGTTTCGCTCAACTCCAGCTCGCCGTCGCTCTCATGCCCGCGCTGCTCGTCGCCCCCGGCCAGACGCTGCAGGGCGCGGCCGACGAAATGGCCGCGCAGCTCCTGCGGTGCTCCAAACCCTAAACCCTAAACCCTAAACCCTAAACCCTAAACCCTAAACCCTAAACCCTCGCAGCAAGTGGGGAGTCGGCAACAGGAACTGCCACGATGGAATGGTCCTCATGTTCGTCAAAAATCACCTCCTCGTTTCCCTCGTTGGCCGAGGTAAACCCTCTTCAAATATAGCTAGCTAGCTAGCTAGCTAGCTAGCTAGCTAGCTAGCTAGCCAGCTAGCTGGCAGCTAGCTAGCTAGCTGGCTAGATGGCTAGCTAGCTAGCTGGCTAGCTAGCTGGCTATGTGGCTAGCTAGCTCGTTGGCTAGCTAGCTGGCTGGGTAGGAGGCTAGCTAGCTAGCTACCTGGCTAGCCAGCTAGCCAACTATCTGGCTAGCTAGCTAGCCAGCTAGCTAGCCAGCTAGCTAGCTAGCTAGTCAGCTAGCTAGCTAGCTAGCTGGTGAATTTGGTTAGCTGGGTGCAATGTGGCGATTTGCAGAGAACGTGCAGCCGGCGTACATAACCCCAGTGAGCTGGCTCGCGCGCAAACCCTAAACCCTAAACCCTAAACCCTAAACCCTAAACCCTAAACCCTAAACCCTAAACCCTTCAGCTGTTTGTGGAGTTTCTGAAAGCCCGAGTGAACTTGACTTACCTTCTCTCGGGCTCTGTGGGGGCGGCGCTGATAACGGGGGTGGAGTTGGTGGCGAGTCAGCTGCCGGAGGCTCCCACGGGTGCGTAAACCCTAAACCCTAAACCCTAAACCCTAAACCCTAAACCCTAAACCCTCGCAGGACTCAGCTGGGTGGCCTACCTCCTCATCGGCCTCATTGTCTGCTACCTCTTGTCCGTGCTGATTGTTTACCAAGTGCTTTCGTACAGCTTGAAGAAGCGGTTCGAAGCTGGCGACTAGCCAAACCCTAAACCCTAAACCCTAAACCCTAAACCCTAAACCCTAAACCCTCAGTGGGGACTCGGCTTGTGGCCGTCCACAAAGAAATTCCGAGTTATTGGAGGCAGCCGGACTTTCTCGTTTTCGAACTTCTCCGTGACGCGAATTTGGCAACCCAGACGCGACCTGCGCACAAACCCTAAACCCTAAACCCTAAACCCTAAACCCTAAACCCTAAGCCCTTAGTTCTGCGTTCCAAACCCTAGGCAAACTCCAAACCCTAGAATAAAGGGAAACGGACCCAAAAACGCACAAGGCCGGCACTGTGGTTGAGGGTTTGTGAGGAAGATGAGGGTTTAGGGTTTGTCAAACAGGCTAGGGTTTAGGGTTTGCAGCGCAGTTAGGGTTTAGACTGCGCCAAGCGAGCTAGGGTTTAGGGTTTAGGGAAAAGATCTTTAGGCCGAAACTGAACGTAATGGGCTAAAGGCCAGTCAAGGGTTTAGGGTTTAGGGTTTAGGGTTTGCTGTGCAACAAGCGCTCCAGACATTAGGGTTTGAAGGGTTTAGGGTTTACGCGGAACTCGAGGGTTTAGGGTTTCCGGCGCTCCTGAGGGTTTTTCGCCGCAGCCGCATGGCTCCCAGGCGCTGCAGCGCCTAGGGTTTAGGGTTTAGGGTTTAGGGTTTAGGGTTTAGGGTTTAGGGTTTACGTGTCCGTGAGACAAGCTGCCAAGTCCAACATGTCATCTTCTTCATCTTTTGGAACTTCTAGGGTTTCGTATAAACCCTCGCTGAGGATAACGTGGCAGGTGGAGCAGGAGCACTGCCCCTCGCAGGCCCCTGCAGCAAACCCTAAACCCTAAACCCTAAACCCTAAACCCTAAACCCTAAACCCTAAGCCCTACAGCTGCGAGGGTCCCGCTGGCGAGAGCCAGGCGCTGCTGGCGCCCGCAGGGCACGGCCTGGCGCTCAGAGCTGCGGTTTAGGGTTTAGGGTTTGGAGGCTGCGTTCTAGGGTTTAGGGTTTAGGGTTTAGACCCTAGGGCTAGGGTTTAGGGTTTAGGGTTTAGGGTTTAGGGTTTGCCTTCTAGGGGGACGTTGTTCATGTGAGCCGCCTCCAACACTGTGCAGCCCTCTGGGACATTTACGGGGGTTTCTTTTCCATCTTCTTCGACAAAGACAAAAGACCTGAAAACCCGCAAACCCTAAAAAAGGGTTTAGGGTTTACGAGGCCGGCCCGGCGTTAGGGCGGGTGGTTTAGGGTTTAGGGTTTGGGCGACGCAAAACTCCATCAGTTGCTTTCTCCGGACGCAGCCCACGAATCGAACTAAAATCCCCAAACCCTAAACCCTAAACCCTAAACCCTAAACCCTAAACCCTAAACCCTACGCTCTGAACCACCAGCAACGGTCGTCTGGCTCCTTATCCCCAGCAGACAGGCCACAGTGCGTAGGGTTTAGGGTTTGGAACTCGGGGCCTAGGGTTTAGGGTTTAGCGTTTAGGGTTTAGGGTTTAGGGTTTAGGGTTTAGGGTTTTACACTGTTTTGCCGTTGGGTGGGGTTTTGGAGTGGAAGAAATGGCGGGGCGGAGCAGCAGCAGCAAAGCTGTAGATACACCTGGGGCCCCTCTGTCTACACAGCCAAAACCTGCTGCTGCTGCTGCTGCTGCTGCTGCTGCTGCTGCTGCTGCTGCTGTGTACGCTGCTGCTGCTGTGAACGCTGCTGCTGCAGCTGCTGCCGGTGCTGCTGTGGTGCGCCCTCCAGGGCGCTGGGGCGGCCCTGCTGCTGCTGCTGCTGCTGCTGCAGCTGCTGCTGCTGCTGTTGCTGCTGCTGCTGCAGCTGCTGCTGCTGCAGCTGCTGCTGCTGCTGCTGCTGCTGCAGCAAATGGACCGCCGCACGAGGGTCTGGGAGAGAAGAGGCCGCAGCATGTTCTCCGGCTCCTCCGTAAACCCTAAACCCTAAACCCTAAACCCTAAACCCTAGAGCTGCCAATAGGCAGACCCTGCAGAGCAGGTGGGGGTGTACCGCCGGGGCCCAAAAGCCCTTGCGCTGAGCCCTAAACCCTAAACCCTAAACCCTAAACCCTAAACCCTAGGGAAGTAAGGCTGGGCTGTGCTTCCCATGTCGTAGAGCCTAAACCCCAGCCGCTGGGCCGCAAACCCTAAACCCTAAACCCTAAACCCTAAACCCTGCTGCTGCTAAATAGAATTTCAATAAAATAAAAAGATTAATTAATTGGAATAAATTTAGTTCAACGCGGGGGCCCCGAAGACCCTCGAAGGCGCAGGCATGCGGCGGGGCCCCAGGCCCTAAACCCTAAACCCTAGAGCCCCTAAACCCTAAACCCTAAACCCTAAACCCTAAACCCTAAGAGTGTTTTTTTGAATTATTGGAGTTTATTTTGGCAAATGAATTATTTAATTTGCTGTTTGTTTGCGTTCTTCTTTGCGGTCTGTGGGCCGCGGCTGCAGCGGCGAGCTGCTGGCTGGCGCCGCGCGAAATGGGATTTGCCTTTTTGCGTTTTATTTGCGCAAATAATTTAAAAATAATTAAAATTGTAAATTGAAATTGCAAAAAGGGAAATAAATTGGCAGTTTTTGCGGCGAAAGTTCCGAAGCTTTTCGAGGAACAGTAGTCGCCAGTGCAGTGTACAGACACCCGGCGGTCCGGTCGCGCCGTCCAGGTCACTTTCCCCCCCAAAAGCGGCTCATTTTTCATTTATTTTTGCGTTTTTCTTTTTAATTTTAATTTAATTTGCATTTCAATTTAAAAGGGGCTTCAAATTAGTCCAAATTTCCTCAAAAATTCGCATTTTCGCTTGCGCGGCGGCCGCGGGGTTTCGGGGGTTTCGCCGCGGCTTTCAAACTTGCAAAGTCCATTTGGCGTTTTTTGTTTTTTTTCGCTTTTTTCAATTTTTTAAACTTTTAAAATGTCTAAATATCATTTATTTGTTATTTACTTCTGCCAATTAGTCCTTTTCCGCTAAATTAGGGTTTATTTGCATGCAGCGCTCGCTCCAAACGCCTTGCAGTGCTTAAACCCTAGGGTTTAGGGTTTGAAGCTCAGGGCTAAGGGTTTAGGGTTTAGGGTTTGCGAGTTGGGGCCTAGGGCCTGGGAAAGGGGGCGTAGGCTTTAGGGCTTAGGGTTTAGTGTTTAAGGTTTGGGAGACTATTCTAATTTGATTTTATTGGAGATTTAGCTGCAAACAAACTCTAGGGTTTAGGGTTTAGGGTTTAAGGTTATGTACACTCCTGCTTGCTTTAATGCATTTTAAAACTTCTGTATTTACACGCAGAGTAAGCCCTAAACCCTAAACCCTAAACCCTAAACCCTAAACCCTAAACCCTGAAGTGCCTTTAACTGCTACTTTCCCGCCTTGACTTGTTTCAAACTACGGAGTGCTTGGGGGCAGCAAACTGCTAAACCCTAAACCCTAAACCCTAAACTCTAAACCCTAAACCCTAAACCCTAAACCCTAGATGTGAGTTCTGGGCCGGGCTCGCTCGCTCGGGTGTCCGTACACCTGAGGCTCATTTGTTTTCTCGTTTTGACTTTTTTGAATTTAAATTTTAATTTAAAATAATAATTCAAAAATAATAAAAATAAAAAACAATAAATGTCACTTTCTTTGGATTTAAATTTTAATTTGAAATAAATTTAAAAATAAAAATAAAAAACTGAGACACACTGAGGTGTACATACACTCGAAACGACCCTCAGCCTCCCTTCCCTCGCTGGCTCCAGGCCCTAAACCCTAAACCCTAAACCCTAAATTAGGGTTTGGGGCCCCGCGTTTTCGCCTTCTTCTGTTGCTGGGGGCGGACCGCGGCTCCGTTGGAGACTTCCCGAAGATCAGGGCTTAGGGTTTAGGGTTTAGGGTTTAGGGTTTAGGGTTTGTTTGCTTTTGCGGGGGCGAGAGGGAGAAAAACCAATTTGCTGCAGCGCCAGCAGCAGCTGCTGCTCCCCCTCTTGCGCTTTTGCTGCTGAGCGCTGGCAGCAGCAAGCCACTTGCCAAAGCCATTCTGCTGCAGCGCACCACCCCCCGCTGCTGCTGCTGCTGCTGCTGCTGCTGCTGCTGCTGCTGCAGGTGCAGCAGGCAGCAGGGCCTGCAGCAGCAAGAGCAGCAGCAACAGGAGTCAGCCAGGGGTGCTGCAGCAGTTCAGCTAGAGTTGGCCTTGCCTTGGGAGAGACCTGCAGCAGCTGCTGCAGCAGCAGCAGCCCCTGAGGGTCTCGCTGCAGCAGCGGGAAAGCAGCAGCAATGCTGCTGCTGCTGATGCTGCCGTTGGGCTCGAAAGCCATAAACGGTGCTGCTCCTGCTGCTGCAGCAGCCAGCAGCAACTTGGACACGCGGCACGCGTCTCCTGCTGCTGCTTCGTCGCAGCCAGACACAAACGACTGCGCTGCTGCTGCTGCTGCTGCTGCTGCTGCTGCTGCTGCTGCTGCTGCGTCCTGCTGCTGCTGCGGCGGCTGCAGCAAATTGCCTGCAGCGACGCAGCTGCGCCGCCTCCTTATAGCAGCAGAGTCATCCGCGCCAAACAGCTCAGAATCTGCTTCTGCTGCTGCTGCTGCTGCTGCTGCTGCTGCTGTTGCTGTTTGTGCTGCTGCTGCTGCTGCTGCTGCTGTGTCAACAGACAGCCGCCCTCTAGAACGCCACCCATCGCAAAAAGCTTCGCGCTTCAGACTTTCCCTTAACTCCTGCTGCTGCTGCTGCTTCTGCTGCTGCTGCTGTTTGTGCTGTTGCTGCTGCTGCTGCTGTTTTTGCTGCTGCTGCTGCTGTTTTTGCTGCTGCTCCTGCTGTTTCTGGTCCTGCTGCTGCTGCTTTTGCTCCTGCTGCTGCTGCTTTTGCTTTGGCGGCTCTTGTTTGTGCTGCTGCTGCTGCTGCTGCTGCTGTTTGCCTTGCTGCTTCTGCTGCTGCTGCTGCTGCAGCAGCAGCAAGTACGCAGCAAGGCAGATCCCGACGCCCCAGACAACAGCAGCTTCCTCGTCTTCTCTTGAGCTTGGCCAAGCAGCAGCAGCAGCAGCAGCAGCAGCGCAGCAGCAATTCGAAAGAAGTCGAGAAAAGGAATAAAAAGAATAATTAAAAGGACAAGTTGAAGCAGCAGCTAAGCTGCTGCAGGCCCCGCAGCTGCTGCAGACTCCGAGCCGGCACTCCGGCGGCAGCCAGCAGCTCACTGGCAGTTGCTGCAGCAGCAGCTGCTGCTGCTGCTGTTGCTGCTGCTGCTGCTGCTGCTGCTCCTGGTGCTCGTTTTGTTGCTGCTGCTGTGGCAGCAGCTGCTGCTGCTGCTCCTGCTGCCGCTGCTGCTGCTCGGGGAGCGCGCCGCTGCTGCTGCTGCTGCTGCAGCAGCAGCAGGAGGGACTATCCGGGGTAAGCGGCGGTGCTGCTAGGCGGAGAGAAAAGCAGCAGCAGCAGCAGCAGCAGCAGCAGCAATTTAAAAAGACAGAAAAAGGAGACACGGGAGCCAGCGAGGTGTCTGTACACCTCAGACACTTCAGCCCGCACAGCAGCAGAAACAAAAACAGGCGCGCGCTCTCCCGGCGCAGCACGTCGCTGCTGCTGCTGCTGCTGCTGCTGCTGCTGCTGCTGCTGCAGCTGCAGCAAGGGGCGCGAGGCCAGGGGGCCCCTCTCTGCAGCAGGGAGGCCCCCAGGGACTGGCTGCTGCTGCTGAAGACGAAGTAAGCAGCATCTGCTGCTATGTGCATGTCGTACACTGGCAGCAGCAGCCGAGCCCTGCAGCAACCCTCCTGCTGCTGCTGCTGCTGCTGCTGCTGCTGCTGCTGCTGCTGCTGCTGGAGGCAGAAGGGGCTTGCAGCAGCGTAGCGCGCAAGGCAAATGGACCGCAGCAGCCACGTGGGCATGCTTTTGCTGCCGTCAAAGGGCACGCGCTTCAACACCAAGCTGCAGCAGCAGCAACTGCTGCTGCTGCTGCTGCTGCTGCTGCTGCTGCTGCTGCTGCGCTCTGCGCTGCTGCAGGCCGCACCCTGTCTGCTGCTGCTGCTGCTGCTGCTGCTGCTGCTGCTGGTCAGAACTACTTGCCAAGCTGCTTCCGTGCGTTCGTGTTCTGTTTGCTGCTGCTGCTGCTGCTGCTGCTGCTGCTGCTGCGTGTGGACTGCGGTGTACGTACACCCCGAGTGCGGGAAGCAAAAGGAGAAAAGTCCTTTTTTGTTTTTTTTTATTTTTAATTCTTCTCCAATTATCCAACTGTCTCCTTGGAGGCCCCACAGCCCCACTGGGGGGGGAGGGGGGGGCCCCCGCTCCAGCAGCAGCAGCTGCTGCTGCTGCTGCTGCTCTTCCCCGCTGCTGCTGCTGCTGCTGCTGCTGCTGCTGCTGCTTTGGGGCCTATTCTTGGGGGTTCTGGGGCTGCTGCTGCGCAGCAAATCTCCTCTTTCTGGAGGCAAAAGGGGGCCCCTTTGTTTTCCTTTTTTCTTTTTATTTAAATCCAAAATTCTGCCATCGGGGGGCCCCCCCTCAGCCCCCAACGCCTCGGGGGGCCCCCCAGGGGGCCCCCCAGGGGGCCCCCCAAGGGGCCCCTCAGGGGGGCCCCCAGGGGGCCCCCCAGGGGGCCCCCCAAAGGGGCCCCCAAAGAGGTCTACTGAGGGATCCCACAAGAAGTCCTCGAGGGGCCCCCCTGGGGGCCCCCCAAATGGGTACTCAGGGGGCCCCCCAAATGGGTACTCAGGGGGGCCCCCAAAGGGGTACTCAGGGGGGCCCCCCAGAAAGTATTCAGGGGGGCCCCCAAAAAGGTACTCAGGGGCCCCTTCAATATCATCTTCAAGGGGCCCCCCAAAAGCATCTTCAAGGGGCCCCCAAAAGGGTACTTCAGGGGGCCCCTCGGGGGAGCCCTCAAGGGGGCCCCCAAGGGGCCCCTCCTGTAAGTCTGTACCCTTCTGGAGGCCCCCTGGGGGGCCCCCTGGGGGGCCCCCTTGGGGGCCCCCTTGGGGGCCCCCTGGGGGGCCCCCTGGGGCCCCCTTGGGGGCCAGCAGGTTCAGCTGGGGGGCCCCCAAGGGGCCCCCAGTGTCTGAAGGGGCCCCTTCAATGGGGGAAGTTTGCTGCTGCAGCAGCAGCTCTGCTGCTGCGTCAAGGTGCTGCTGCTGCAGGGCCTCACTGGAGAAATCTGCTGCTGCTGCTGC